TCTCGACCCCCCTCCTCTCCTTCTCCCTTCGCCGCCGCCGGCAGTGGCCTCCGGCATGCGCGGGTGGCGCCGGTGCTGACGGATGTCCCCTCTCCGCGCGCCTGGAGGGGGAGTTGGGGCTCCCTCCTACCTTGTGGCGGTGCTGCTCGGCCGGCGGCGGTGGGGCCCCGCGGCGTAGCTCTACGGGCCTCGGGTGCTCTCGACGCGGTGGCATGGATGTTGGCTACGAGGTGGTTCGGTGGGCGGCTCGCCGGCGGCGCCCGCTCGACCCAGATCTGGGCACTTTCGGGTCCCATCTGGGCTGGGGCGGGCCTGTGGGTCGGGGCGCGATGGCGTTGCTCCCTGGTGGTGAGGCTAGGCAGCCGTGGCTGTGGTGGTGATGGCTCCGGCGGCCGGCGTGCTGCAGCGTGGCTGCAGGGACTGTCCGGACCCGTTGGGGTCAGGCTGGGCCGGTGGTGGCCTGGCAGGTCCCTGTTGCTTTGTCCGGTCGGTTCCGCGCGGCGGTGGAGGTGGTTCCCTCCTGTCGGCTGCGTTGTGGTTATCATCGAGTAAGGTGTCTCCTTGTCCTACCTCCAGGTCTCGTGTTGGTGGCCTCAATGAGACGGTGAAGATGGTGCGGTATCCGTGGTGGCACAGGCTGGTGGGCGGCATGTTGGGTTGCGCGCTTCCAATTGTCTGGGGTGGCAGTGGTGGTTTCGGGGCGGGAGAAATCTCTGGCGGCTTGTTCGCCACCGGCGCGGCTGCGCCCGTGGGCGTTGCCGGACCCTCCCGAGGGGCGTCGGTGATACCCCTTCCCCACTGCCATCCATGTACCGGGGGAAACCCTAGGACTTGTCCAGGCAGCAGCGGCGTCGTCGTCGCATTCCTTCATGAAGGTGTTGCTTGGTATGCGAGGGTTCGGAGTGCTTGGCGGGTGGTGGTACTTCTCCGGAGGGTGCAGCGGGTGTCAGTCATCTTCGCTTAGTTGAGCTGCCGGCGTTGACATTTGGTTCTTTGTTCTTTCTTTCCTTTTTATTTTGGGCTCGTTTGTGTTGCGCCCTAGCAAACTCGTTGTATCGGTTGGTCGTTGCTTTATAATTTAAAGCGGGGAGACCCTTTTTCGTAGTCATAGCCTCCATCCGTACATAATCTCCGGCATAGATGATTCCTTCACGACTGGATGGTTCCCATTCATTTGATGGACAATGGATGGTGGTCCCATTGCAGCTAGAGGAATTGGTGGCTCGGGGGTTCATGACGCGGGATGGTCTTCTGCAGACTCAGGATTCTTGAAGAATGATTATTTTACATGGCTAAGAAATTAGTTCAACGCCGGAGCATTTACCAAAGACGTGAGCCATAACCATGCCTCAAAAGAAAAGGATAAATGGGAATCTTGTCCATCCAGTCGCTCATGTTGCTGCGAGGTAGCATTCAATCTATCGTCATCTATGCGATAAATCACGAGTGGACATGGTGCCAAGCGAGGTCGGTATCCCGCCCGCCCATTCCCACGTGATCCGTGCATATATTATACTGTGAGCATGTATATTCATTTCTCTGCCCCATATCCAACCTGTATAGCTTTCGTATTTTGCCTGACAGGTCAGATCTGCTGCATACAAACAAACCAGACGCATTGAATCACTCATTTGTTGCAACAGCCACCTGCACCATGCTCCCCTCCGTCTCTTTAATCCATTCGGCTTTGTTGCTTCGGCTGTCCAACCATTTTGCTCGGCGCTCATTCTCACTCTCTCTTGCAACCATCCTCCCAATGCAGGTCAGAACCATGTGTTCATCCATGCTCCAGGGAAGCTCTCCACCACATTCATCCTCATGTCATCTCCAACCAGGTCGCCTCGCTCTCTCTCTCATCCGTTGCCCTGAGTTCAAAGTTGGGCATGTGGTCTAGTTCATTTCAGGCAGTAGTAAACCCGAGGAGACATTTCTACAGCTGTGATTGCCATGGTGTAGTAAGTTCATCGTCTACTGTTCCATACATCGTTTGCACTTTGTTCGACTAATGCAAATGAGGATGCAGACTTTGGAAACCGAAGAACAAGTATATACAGTACTTGAGTGCTAGATGGAATCACCTAACATAGCAAACATCCGGCTTGCTTGGAAATGCTCATGCTGCCCAACCCTTCTTCATCAGTTCTCCTTGTTCATTTCTCACAGCGTGCCGCAGGTCATCACAATGTGTTCATCCAAGTCCCAGCTTATCCCCACACCTCCTGAAGAACATTTTCATCTTGGGCGTTGCGAACACGCTCCTAATGGCCATGATCTGCATGCACAAATTCTAAAGCGACCTCTCGTGTGATGGATTTGATCTTGTTCCCCTATGTACCCCGCGAGATGGATCTGTTGTAGTTCCTCTGTACCCAACGGGCGATGGATTCGCTCTAGTCCCCTTATGTATCTTTCTTCCCTTCTTCTCCATGTACTGCATGTATCTCCCAGTTCCAACTACGTCATACGTACGCAGCAGGCTGCCCTATCAATAATACATGTCCATCGTTTGTGAGCATGAAGCATTAAGTCCGGCTAATCGTGTGAGACAGTGCAAAATTATTTACTAAACTACGTAACGACCAAAGGCAGGGATCGGGGCATTGATCCCACCTGCAATAATGCTCGGCCAGCCGACATGCGATGGGAATCAATACACCCAGCTGCCATGCAAAACATCAAAGCACTCAGCAAACCATTAATGTGTCATCAACGTAACGGCTTTTTCCATCGCCGGGGGTGCGCACGTGGCTCGTATATTCATAGGAATGTAAATGACGCCCTGGGCCACACGGCATGGCGTATAACGCGATGTATTCATGAAGCTGGTAATTAACCTGTCAAGTATTTGCGAATGGCCTATAATAAGTAGGCATCGCGACGCGCGGGTGAATGGATTGGATTACGGCAGCGCGTGGCTGCATGTCTCAAAAATTCACGTCCTCATCTATGTTGCTATTTTCCTAATTACAATATGCATGCACTCGCTACCTGCAAGATGGGAAAACACAACCACGATATTGGGCTCATGGAGTTCATCAACCACACGCCACTGCAGAGGAAAGGGATCGGAGGCCTCTCTCAGACGCAGTGGGAGATCGAAGCGCCTCCCTTTTTAAACCGCAATCCGTGGCCAGAGCAGTCCTTCCCGGGCTACAGTCGGACGCAAGTCCTCTTCCGAATTCGTTCTCCCCTTCTGCATAGTTTCCATCGTATGGAGATAGAATTCTCAAAATTTAAACGGGAGTTTTCCATTGGTGGCGGGAACCTTGCAGTAAGTATATATATATATATATATATATATATATATATATATATATATATATATATGGCGGCAACCGCGCTGCTGACTCACGGCAACTCGCGCGTGAGCCTTCAGCCGCCAATTTCTTTTTTCGATAAAGGATGGATTTTATTGACTCAAAATGAAGCATCAAGAGGATACAAACAAAATGAATACACATCCGGCCTCTGCATAGCTAGGATGCACACAGCCAACACTACGCACACACACCAAAAACATGCCAGCAAATAGCAAAGTCATACAAGACCAAAGCTATGCGTAGGCAAAAAAAAAAGAGAAAGTGATCGGATCCGTGAATCAGCAAACTTCAACAAATGCCCATATTCGCACCAACTACCTTATGACACCACACGGACGATGAGGTTCTTCAACAACAACGCCTTCAGGAAGGGAGTGACGCTTAAGCGCCGCCGTCGCCGGATCTAACCATTCAAGGCCAGAATCTAGATTTTCATCCTGAAGAACCAGTCCGAGCATATCTGAGCAATGCCTTCAAAAAGGTAACGACGTAAAAACATCGCCATTGCCAGGTATAACCAACTCAGGTTGGACCTAGGTTTTCATCCCGGGTCTCGAGACCGGATGCTCAAATAGCACCACCATGAATGCCACACATGTGTTGTCGCCACCACTTTTCCGCAATCCAAGCAACTACATGCAATGTGGACCGCCGCCGCTGCACAACCATCCCTCTGCGTCAAGCTGATGTCCTGCATCTCACCACCAAACTCAACCACCAGATCTGAAGGGAGGAACCCTCATGAAGACCTTCCGGTGGCATCACAACCCCAGCGAGGCCGAGGCCGACGCTGTAGGCCGAAGATCCAGACCGTGCACAATTGGCCAAGGCCACTTCGGCGCGAGGAGCAGAACACACCGGCGGCGCAATGTCTGCATACACGTGCCTAGTTGCCGTGCAAGAGTCGGTCGCCGCCACAAGATCAACCACCATTAACACGGACCTCATGGCGTGGCATCCGGGCATAGTTGCGTGGGTAGTGACCATGAGTGTAGACCTTATTGCTGGGAGCCAAGGCAGTGAACGCATCTCGTCAAAGCCACCCCAAGATCCATCAGAACCTTGTTACGGGAGACTCCAGCAGTGCTCATCGCTGAGATCGATCACAAGGAAGCAGAGAAAGAGTAGAGGAGGAGATGGCCTGTAGGTCCCGCCGCCACCGGCTGGCCGGCCGGAGGCTGCCGCCGGCAGCGGCGAGGATGAGGAGGCGGACTGGATGACTAGCGGCGGCGGCGGGGGGATCGCCTCGTGAGTCGCTTGGGCGGCTCACGACACGTAGGTGTTTCTGTATTAATTGTGCTATTCCAGACAATTTCTTATCGGGCAGATCTACGCGGGAGCCATGGCGGTGAGTTAATTGTCTTCTTTAATTTTCCTTGGCGGATCTTTTGTTTTCAGAGAGAGCCCTTTTCCTACATCTAATCAACGTTGAAAATTTTGCACACCTGGACCAAAACTGAAATTACATCAAAATTGCTTCTTTGTGACTCTAAAAACTGCATCCTAATTTGTGACTGAATCAAAATTGCATCTGTGATAATTACAATTTTCTTCTGTGACAATAAATATGTCAAAGTCAGGATGTCTTTTACCATCGAAATTAATATTTGCATATGTCAAAGAATATGATTTTTATTTTGCAACTAGTGTGAAATCAACTCTTATTTGTCTTCATGCCAGATGCATAAAGGCAAGAGGGCTGATAGGCTCAGCGCATTGCCTGATGACATTCTGGTCAACATTCTTGACCGACTCAATCTCCGCGAGGCTGCGAGAACCAGCGTCCTCTCCAGACGGTGGACTCAACTCTGCGCCAATCTGTCTCAACTTATAATAAGTGCTCAACACTTCCTTCCCAATGGCGTGTTATGCACCGGCGTCTCTAATGATGAATTGGTTCGCATCAATGCCGCTGTGGTCCAAGCGATGGAGAGCATACTGACCCGCAGAAATCCTGGAGAGCACACCATCCGCCTTCTGTCCACGACGTTCTACTTGAGAGATGATGTCCCCATATCCATTGGGTGTGCTGTCGGTCATGCCATGTGGGCACACCTGATCGAGAATGCGAAATTCAATGTTATGACAGGGAAGTATGACATCATTGACTTGGACGAGGATGATCTGGTCACCGCTGGGAGAAAATTCATGTTGTTCTTTTTTTCTCGAAAAGGGGAGGGGGGGGGCTCCCCGGCCTCTGCATCAAGGGTGATGCATACGACCATCTTATTAACTAGAAATAAAATTGTGCCAACAAAGTTTCAGAGTCTCAAACTTAAAAAAAAAAAGGCAGCTCACACAGAGCGCAAAAGGCTAGACACACAAACTAGCCATAAAACGATGCCACAACCGGCTGGCTAAACAAGGGTAGGTAAACTAATTGCCTATCCTATTACATGACCGCCATCCAAACCGGTTGAAGATATCCCGAGCTACCATCTCCCAACGGATAGATCCAGTAACCAAATGCTCCCTGGCCTCCATCGGAGTGAGTAGCGACCACGAACGGATCACTACCGTAGCTCGGAAAATAACCTGCAAAATGCCTGCCCAAGTGCATTTGGTGGTCTCACTACCCTCGACCTAGAGAATTTGAGATTTGGTGAATCGGACATATCCAACGTCCTCGTCACTTGCAAGCGGCTGAAGCACTTGTGTTTGTACAATTGTGACTCAGGTGATTGCAGCACGCTGCAACTTGAACATGCTCATCTCAGTGAGCTTAGTATTGCCCACTGTAGGCTCGTGCAAGTTCAGCTGAACTGGCTTCCTCAACTCACAAAGATGGTCTTTGAAGGTTGGCTGCGTTTCCAAGATCCACTATTTATTGGTCATGTCCCATTGTTGGAGACTGTAAGCCTCACAAACCTCGCCCTTAGTCACAGCAGGATGGTCGAGTTAAGTGAGTTTCTTAGCGGTACCTCTATACGAGATCTGAAGTTGGAATTTAATTCTGAAAAGGTAAGTCAAGATTGTCGCTTTGCGAGCTGTGGCTTCGCTTCTTCTCTGCCCATCTCACCATATGCTTATTCGTTGCAGATTTGGGTGCAGCCAGAATGTCCGACACAACGTCTGGCGTCTGTTTTCCGCCAGCTAAGGTTTGTGAATCTAGCTAATCTTCCTCAAGGGTATGATCTCACCTGGACAATATTTATTCTTGAAGTTGCGCCCTTACTGAAGGAGCTATACATGACGGTACGTGCTTACCTGAAGATCTCTTTTTCCCACATGGGCTTAATGTTAGGTTTCGCAAGATTTTCTCACCAGATACAAAAGATGTCTGCTCTATTGATAACTCATTTTTTTAATCTTTGTCCTAATTGCTGGCATGCAGGTATCGGATCATGCGTGTTTAACGGAAACGGATAAGGAGAAGAGGAAAGAAGGATCATATAGTGAGAACAAGGGTGTAGAGTGGGACTCTATCACAACAGGTTTCCAACACCAGAGCATGACCACACTCGTCATCATTGGCTTTGAATCTGAAGACTGCTTTGTGAGTTATATCAGACGCGTTATGGTGGCGGCGGTCAATCTAGCAAACGTGTTCTTGTATAGTAGGTTGGTGTGTGGCAAGTGCGAGGAGAAGCCTAATAGGTACCCCTGGACTAAAAGGCAGAGGGTCTCACTGAAGAGGAGACTCATAGCTGGGATTGAGTCATTTGCCATATTTCACTTTGTTGGCATGAGGGTTGCCCATATAGAAAAAATGAAGTACCCACAGTGCTCACTGCTTGAGGCAAAAAGGTCTTTTACGTGAGGCTGAAAATGTTGTTGATTTCAGTAAACTGTGTTTGAAGTGGTGTTACTTTGGTTGAGAGTTATTTCAGTCTTTTTATAAATTTTGACCGCAAACTGTATTATTATGTTTTTTTTTCAGGATCAATATATTATTATGCTGTAGTGCCGATTGTTCTCATATAAGTTCAGAATTAGAAACATTTTTCTTCATTGGTAAAATTAACGCATATTATTGCTTTATTACAAATCAACTTGGGGGACGATCGTCACCTGAACTCAAGAGGCCGTTGTGCGTTTGTTTGTCCAAGTTAAAAAGCGACATATATTCCGTGGGGGCAGAATAATTGATGTAAAACAGCATGAATTGTATCACAGAGATATTCCAAAAAAAAACCTTACACTTGGGCAATACTACTACTGCTATAACTACACCTGACCAAAACAGATTGCAGAAACAACATAGCCACTCCTTTTCTTCTTATTAACTACTGTACACTTTAGCTTCTTGGGCATCCTGTAACCGCGAACGACGCATGTATGGTCATGCTCGAAGGGATCCAGGGTCACTTGCTCTGACGGCCTGAACTCGTCGGCCTTGAGCTTCTCCACTTCACTCGCAAACACAGCATCCGCGGCCTGGGTGGAGCCGGAAGTAAAAGATGTCAGCTCAAATGGAAACTTCAGAGTTTCTAAGGCATGTGTAATTTCACTAGTAGAAAAAGGACCTTTTGTCCCGGTTTATAAGGGCCTTTAGTCCCGGTTTTGGAACCGGGACTAAAGAGTCATTACTAAAGCCTCCCCCTTTAGTCCCGGTTCTTACACGAACCGGGACTAAAGGCCGTCCACGTGGCCGCAGCCTGACTAAAGGAAATTTCTTGAAATTTTTTTCAAAATTTTTGAATTTTTTTTATTTTCAAATTTCTGAATTTTTTTAACCTCTAATCTCTAATCACCACCCCTCATCACTGCTCAATTTAACCTCTAATCTCTAATCACCCCTCATCATTCCAAATCATCTAACTTCTCGGAAAGTCATCCATCCTCTCACTACTCCAGCCTGAGCACGCTTAACTTCCGGGTTCTATTCTCCCTCGTTTCCAAGTCTACACTTGTTGTTTTCCTGACAATAGTAAGATGTCAATCCTATTAACCCTCAGAAATTTAGCTTGAGTATGAAGTCACACATTTCATTGTTTGAGTTTGAAACTATTGTTTTAAAAAACAATAATTATTTAGTAACACTAATATTTCTTGAATAAGTAGTTTGATCATAGTTTGACCACAGTTTGACAGATTTGACCAAAATTCAAAAAAACTGAAATAATTATTTAATAACACTAATATTTCTTGAATAAGTAGTTTGACCATAGTCTGACCACAGTTTGACCAGATTTGACCAAAATTCAAAAAAACTGAAATAATTATTTAGTAACACTAATATTTCTTGAATAATTAGTTTGACCATTGTTTGACCATAGATTGACCACAGTTTTGACCAGATTTGACCAAAATTCAAAAAAACTGAAATAATTATTTAGTAACACTAATATTCTTGAATAATTAGTTTGACCATTATTTGACCACAGTTTGACCAGATTTGACCAAAATTCAAAAAACTGAAATAATTATTTAGTAACACTAATATTTCTTGAATAAGTAGTTTGACCATAGTTTGACCACAGTTTGACCAGATTTGACCAAAATTCAAAAAAACTGAAATAATTATTTAGTAACACTAATATTTCTTGAATAATTAGTTTGACCATTGTTTGACCATAGTTTGACCAGATTTGACCAAAATTCAAAAAAAACTGAAATAATTATTTAGTAACACTAATATTCTTGAATAATTAGTTTGACCATTGTTTGACCACAGTTTGACCAGATTTGACCAAAATTCAAAAAAGCTGAAATAATTATTTAGTAACACTAATATTCTTGAATAATTATTTAGTAACATTAATACTTCTTGAATAAGTAGTTTGACCATAGTATGACCAGATTTAACAAAAATTCAAAAAAAACTGGAATTTGAGCATAACTTTTTTTCCTTTTAGAATTTGAGAATTCTAAAAATTTGCAAACAGGCCATAGGCCGTCAAAATTTGCAAAACATGTCCAAATTTAAGTTTTTAAATTTTCCTAACTAGTACATGTAGTAACATAACTACATCTGGAAGGATTTTAATTTTTGAAGTTTTTATTATTTTCTTTTGCTTTTTACAAAACTGAAAAGGCGATCCACAGGGGGGGTAGAGTTTGAAAATGGAACCTTTAGTACCGATTCGTGCCATGAACCGGTACTAATGCCTCAAACCCCATTAGTACCGGTTGGTGGCTCGAACCGAGACTAAAGGTCTAACCTTTAGTACCGGTTGGTGCCACGAACCGGTACTAATGGGCATCGCACCCTTTAGTCCCGGTTCGTGTCTCAAACCGGGACTAAAGGGCTCAGGTGAACCGGGACTAATGCCTTAGCCGCACGAACCGGGACCAATGCTCACATTAGTCCCGGTTCGTGACTGAACAGGGACTAATGTGAATATTGCCCTGTGACCAAAGCCCTGTTTTCTACTAGTGTTTGTACATGACAACCATACTCAAGTATGAAACTGACTAGTACCTTGATGGAAATGAGTGGCCGCCATTCTTCAAGAAGATGCGTTAAGGCCTAAGATTCTAGACGTTGGAAATAAGATGCAATGACAAGGTTCAGAAATAATGCTTGATCACAATATCAACAAGTCACCCACATCAAGCTACACATGAGAGTTTGAGAAATCTTATAAGAATGAACTATTGGAGCTTTCTCGACATTTTAGTAGAATATGATCACTAGAATTTATTTTTAGGTATTGAATCTTATTTATAGAAAGCAAGAATTAGCCTGCCAGATCATGGATTGAAAAAGAAGAAAAAAGGGCTCTTGAGCCATAGTAAAATATTATATTCAAGAACAAAGGCTGTTGGGGGATGGTGAAATATTGTTCCCTACAAACATTTAGTGATTTTTTTGTAACATAAAAGGATCCCAATTTTATTAGAGTACAAAAATTGGCTTATGGATTATACCATGTGTGCCTTTAAGTTTTTGTTATATATTCTTTTGTCTGATGATGAACAATAATGTGTATGCTCCTTGATTTTTTAGGCCATGTCCCTCACTTTTCTTTACAAAATAAATCAAAAGGTTAACATCTTCTCTTTCATGTGAAACATATTTTTGGGTTGTGAACTTTGTTGTTTCCTAAACAATGGAGTTATAGGTTATGCAATTGACAGTAGTTTTCTTGCTATGGTTACATACTGAAACCTAGAATATAAAATAAGCACATTGTAGCTCACATAGTGAAAAACATGTCATTGATGAAATATGGTGATGATTCTCGGCTTAGCAAAGCGAGCGAATGCTACTAGTATTACCCTATAGACGACAACAAACGTGAACGGCAAAATAACAAATGCAACCTAACAAGTAGGAATTACTTGGAATCTAAACCCTCTGTTTTTTAACTATCATAATTTGGTTAAAAATGAACTAATTTGGGTCCTGAAGGTACGATGGGATGACAACATGATTTAGAAAGATACAAATTTAATCCTAAACCACGAAATCAATGAATCAATAAACGGATTGCTTGTTTGGGTAATTTTCTTCTAGGTTGCTACAAAATAAGGACATTTAGTGTACTATTTTTGCAGACCAATAATGCAAATCAATGGAACCAGCTATCAAGTTAACACTAGCAAAGTTTGAGGCACCCTTTATGCAAGTGGCACGTGCTATGTGTGGTTAAGGAGAAAAAATGTGGTGTTTAGTGGCAAAGTAAAATCTATTTCACTTGAAAACCACGATAGTTGCTGGCAAATAAGTTCCAACTATCCAAGACCGAGAGTTCAAAAACAACACTTTATGGTTGCATGTGTTATGCTCCTCTTTTTTAACTTTGGCAACTATCATAAAACAATAACCATCTATGTTACAAGACAGGGGATTAAGAAATCAGGAGGGTCTTCACGTCATTCCTCTGACGGTTTGTTTCTATAACCTGCTTGAGTGAGCGAATGTGCAACAACATTACTTTCCGGGCACAATGCACAATTGTCGCCCTGCCAAAAAACATAGCAACTTTCGACAAGTCTCGGTTATCACGACTCCGGATTTTTTTTATACTCGGATGGATCTAGAATGGATTGCACAATCTCCATTGAATCAAATTCTATAGCCATAGAGTAAATCCCCATGTCATCTGCTAGGTGCAATCCCTCCAGCAACACGCATGCCTTCATAGAGGGGTGATAACAATCCACAAGTATAGGGGATCGTTTGTAGCCATTTCAATAAATAAGAGTGTCGAATCCAACAAGGAGCTAAATGTAAGATTTATATTGTCTTCAAGTTCTATCGACCATCGATACAACTCTACACACATTAACGTTTGCTTTACCTAGAACAAGTATAAAACTAGTTCATGGGAATAAAACTAGGAGCGCTTTGCAAGATAATAAAAGTTAGTTGTTGTCTTAAAGATTTTGGGGAACGATGAGAAATATTTTCCATGGGCAATTGAATATGGCACGTGTGATACTTATCATATGCTATTAGGCAGAGGCATATACTAACATACTTACCATACCGGGGTCACATGTTCTTATGATTGGAACTTTAGCAAGCATCCGTAACTACTAAAATCATTAACGTAAAACACAACCATAGCATGAAGTATAAAGTCCCATTTGCTCCCATACGCAACAACCCCCTCACTCGGGTTTAAACTTTTGTCACTCTCGCAACTCACTGTAAGAGAATCATGAGCATATTGTAACACCCTACAGCGGTAATCCCGCACGTTTGCGTGACACGGAGGGCATCATAGGACAGCACCATAATAACATACAACTCATATCAATCACACCATACCACAATTAACCCGTAGGACAAAAGGGATCTACTCATACATTATAGGATGGCTACACATCATTGGATAATAATATATAGCATAAAGCACCATGTTCAAG